CAACACCTCCTACCGGTCCAAGTATGGAGACAAAGTTTAAAAAGTTCTGAACCGGCAGCGTCCCACAAAGAATGACAAAGGGAAACCCCCGGAACCACCCGGCAGCGACCAACCGCCGCCCGCCTACCCAGACAAACGATAGGACACGGTACGATGTTTTACCGAAGAGGATTTTCCTGTGATGTTCACACTGTTGGTGCAGAGTAGTGATCGGACGGTCTCTGAATTAGTGGGGGAAAAAACGTGGTTTGAGCTCCTGGGACTGTCCAGTCGCTAGAACTTGTACCTATGAGTTGATTCCGGAGAAGCTGAGGGCTCCTGCTCTGGGATCCACGCGTTCCTTATCAGCTTGCCTAAATCTTTTTTGAATTTCGTAGGCGTCGTAAGGTTAAAAAAAAAAAAAAAAAAAAAGTATGATATCATGCTCACACTGCCGTACATGTCTCTGAGTTCACCACCTACAGCATTTTACGAGCACTGTGAACAAGTTCTAAAACAATTTACCCAGCAGGAAGGAACACAGCACAGTACAGCACCTGTGTACAGTACTCGAGTACCGGTCAAGACTCGAGCAGTTGTGGCAAGGCCAACTGGTGCCGCTTGAGAGTCCTGGTACTGTACTCGGGGGGGAGGGTCAATGAAATCCGGAAACTACTCGTAGTGGGTGTCAATGCAGGCAGCAGGGTTCATTTTATTGGATGCCGATAAGCATGTTGTCTTGAGAGAAATCAATGTTACAGAAGTCAAAAACCCAAACCAGTCGCTTTGAAGTTATATGCCATTGAACAGGTGAGAATCAGGGGCGCAGCATGCTCTTATGAAATTGGGTTACCTATTTCCGATTCTAATTTACGTTTTCTGTTTGTTATCTCCGTGTTGTTCCCGGGATATCATACTTGGCCGCCACTCCCAGTTAGTTGCTATTGTCTTCTAAAAGACTTTTGGTTCCCAATTTCTGATGTGGTCTCGTCGTTTAGCACCGGTTGAGAATTTGGACGATCGCTTTTCCTGATCTTTAACGACTTCTGCTGCGAGCACAGTACTGTACGACCTCGGTGCCCTGTCGCAGGACCACAAACTCCCGGAAAATAGGCTACTGTATACCCAGTGCCACCCACCACCGCAGTTACTACTGTAATTGTAGTTATCACCGCTATCGTGTACCCCAACACCGCTGTACTAGTACAGCGCTCGTACTCGATCACAAGAAACTGGGTTTCAGATCCTCTGAGCCCACTTCCTGCTGAAGACAAAAAAATAAAAAAATATGATAACATGAAATCTCTTGCGACAACGAGTATTTCTTATATTGATTAGTCAGGACCCCCACGCCTTCTCGGGGCTCCGGGCTCCCGTCCTTAGAATTGTTTTTTTGTGGGCTGAAGCTGATACCCTGCTAGGATTATTAGATCATTGACGAGATTTTTAAAAGATGAGTGCGGAAGCGAAGAAACAGGGTTTCGCCAGATCGAGTTTCCCATTATGGCTAGACACTGCACGGATCTTTCCGGGGTTGGTTAGGCTGAGATCTATTGGTTGTCAATTTAAATGATATTCCGGTCCTCATAGGTGTGGTATGGTACTCGAGTACGGTTCGCGAGAACTGGTGCTCGTGGCAGGCAAGAAGTATCCGAAAGTAGGGAATCGCAAAAAATATGGAAAAAAAAATTCATGCGTATCTGAGCACCTGTACGTGTACTTGAGTACAGTACTTGTTAGTACAACTTGTGGGTACAAACTCACGATTCGCATTTTCGGATACAAGTACCTCTTTCCTACGAGTATCGGTACTCGGGTGTGTCAGTGGATGGGAAAACTACTGGAGTATTTCTGCCGATCCATGCAAATCTCTTTAACGAGTATTTTATGGATACACCCAAGAACCGGGGGCTGTGGGTAGGTCCGTCGAACCTTGCGCTAGACTATTGGCTCCAGCCTTCTCGCCCACTCAGAGACCAGTACGATATCTGCTCCAGGTACTTTGCCAAGAGTTCGACAGACTTTTTTCCTTCACTTAATATCAAAGAAGCATTCCATCAGGCTCTCTATCCCTCACCAACTTGCGAGGAAATCAGCAAATTGTATGCTCGGACAGCCTTTCCTCCCCATGCAAACTCGGCCTATGAGAGTCAAGTTCGACAGACCTTTGCGCACACCATAGGTACATTATATGATTTCATTTTGACCTCGAGATCACCCCCGCTTGAATGTGGTGATGCCCTTCCACTGTTATATCATAGCAAGGCATTTATCATACGGTATCGCAATGCTCTAGTCAATTATTGCACCTTCCCGGGATAAGTGCTTGTGAGTGAACCGGACTCATACATAGGAGGGACTGTGTGCAAGTACCGTAGTAAGGAGTTGGATGGTGTTTTGAGCACCAACCCTCTTGGTGGAAGCTTGGTATTGGATGGCACGGATTGCATTTTATCGTATTGATAATCGTGCTTGATGAGCCTGATCTACTCAAGTACTTGTACCGGTACAACTGAGCGAGAGTCGGGCACCTGGGGTTTCTGCATCCTGCCATTGTCCGTAGGACAGCCACTCAGCGCGCGAGAAACGGTGTTTAGGATATCGATACTCATACAAGTACAAGTACTCGACCGACCTGTATGATGAACATTTAAACTACCGACGTCAAGACTCACAACGATAGGCAGATTACTGGTATGGCTCCAAATTGTCTTTAACCTCAATCTCAGCCCTTGCTGTCTCGCTCGGACAAGCGATCGAGCGAATTATAAAGTTTTGCGCACCAAAGGACACTGTGAATGAAGCAGCGGTACCGGTATTACTCGGGTATGGACGTGTGTGACCGGACAGCTAGGGGTTAGAGGTGTCAAAGCTTCTTGCTTGTTTGAGTAATTTCCTTGCCAAACCTGTCCTTATATTTCCTATAAGGGTAGAACGGTCAGGACTCCAGAATCCCTAGCTGTCCGGTCGCCCACGTCCGTGTACCCGAGTACAGCACCAGTGGTCTGTTGCATAATGTTTCGTGAGTGAACACACGCTTAATCCGTACCGTAACTCCTATTCAAAGATAGGAGAACCGAAGGTGGTCATTTACATCAGCAATCATGTTGCGCCATAATCCCGAAACAGGCGACCTGCACTTCTGTCAAGTTTGTATGGGATTGGTATTATACTTTCTGCACAGGAGTACCCGTAAAAACTCTTGAAGAAGTCCACTACCGTATCGAATAATCAGCAGAAATCCCACTCCAGCCCACAATGGATTCAGGTGGACAGGTTAACAAGATCTAACATGTTCAGCGTGCCGACCTTATACTGCGCTAGGAAAACGCCGATCCTTCCTAGGAGCTTTTTGTCGTTGAATCCGGAGATTAAAGGGTGGTGGATTTCGAGGGTTTTGTGGTACACGTAGGAAGAAATGGTGGAGGACAGCGATTCCCAGTCGCTCCTGCGCATGCTGTTTGTGTTGGAGTAACCAGCACCTCTGTGAACCGGAGGGGTGGAGTCGCCAATCTCCAACCTGTCGATCACAATTGCTTTTCCCAGGATAAGAAGGACCCGTGATTTGTTGCTCTACGGTGAGGAGCCGGGTGAGAGGGGACACCCATTATAGAAACAGGCAAAAGGAGGTTCCTGTTCTGGTTGCGTTTGTGGGGGCGGATTGCAATACCGGTACCGGTACGGATTTTAGGACAATAGAGTACCGCAGAAACTGTACCTTGCGCTAGGACATTGAGTTGGCTCTCTTAGCACTCAAGTACTGGTACTGTACGGCAAGGTTTGGTGTAATAGTACAAGTACGAGTACAGGTGTGCTGTTATTCACAGCGGGGGACTGAGAGCCGGTTTTTCTCGCTCTGTTTTGCCTCCCTTAATCCAAAGAGGGGAACTCTGGACGTCTTTGTGCGAGGTCCAATCATTTACAGTTTCTGCGGGCATCGGTAAGGGCTAAGGTTCGGTGAAGATGTGATATCAGTTGAGGCGTGATTTTATTTGATCAAAAATTTTTAATGTCGGGAGTGCATTTTTTTCCCCATAATGGTCTTGAGTTGCTTTTTTCCAGCGAGTGTGGAGCTCAATGCTCTACCAACCGCGGTTGGGGGCTTGGAGGCTTGCATGGTACAGGACGGGAGGCCGGGCACCAGAGTAGTTCAGGACTTGTACGTATCTGGCAATTAGGCTCTGAGAATACCGGTACGACCGCCCTATTGTTAGATAACCACTCAACCAGCAAAAAAAAGGGAAGAAAAGAGAGAAGAAGAAAAAAAGCTGTCTCATTTCCAGATACATTTGTCAGATAGAAGGACAGCACCTACTCAGCAAGAGCATGGGGGTTGCCAGTACCCAGAATAGTAGTGCCAAACTTTTTTTTTTTCAGGGAGTTTTGCCTGTGTGGTATGATACTTGTACTTGTACAGTACTCGTACAGTATGCGGAAAGAGCAGATGTTTGGTGGGTATTTACTCTCACCAAGCCAAGTGGGATCGACAAAAATTGAGCTGACTTCAGGTGGAGGGCCACCATTCAAGTGGACGGCGAGCTGCCGCCCTCGATGCAGTCGGTTAAACTTGAACTAACTTGCTTGGGGGAGCAGGAATTAAATATTCCGACCTGGTTTGTCACACAGGATCCCTTTCCGGAATGAGTGAGACCCTTAGTATGTGATGCCGGTTCAAAAGATCAATTTCATAGGCATTTATCTTGGTATTCCTTTTTCTCCTGAATTCCCTGCTTTTTATTTAGCAGCAAACCAATGGCATCGATCGTGTGCCGCGCTCGGACTCGTCCCCTCGATGGTGAATCTTAGTGGAGGATGGTAGAAAAGCGCTATCTCCCCCTCCAAGTTTGAAATCCCCTTCCCTTTTCGACCCCTCTGAACCGCATGCGCAACTTATCCTTACTAACCTACCCCATAAGTCGAGGGTCCCTTCGAAGCTTACCAGCCCTTGGGAGACGAGTAGTAGTAGGTGGTTAGGGTGGTGGCAGCCTCAGCTTTTACAACCACAACCACGCCCACCATCACATCGACAAGATCACACAACCGCCGCTGTCTCTGTCGAGAGAACTTTTTGGTTTGGAGATTGGTCTTCGATCCCCACGTTGTGGGTCGAATTTCTCTCCGTTAACAAGGGGGAATTACGACGCAAGAGGTACACAGCAATCATGTTTGACGGAGAATACGACCCCCCGCTTGCTCCGCAGAGGTTCGCTGCCGGATACATCATTCTTTCGTATTTCGTCTCCTTTCTTGGTTCACTTTCAACCCTTGAACTTCTGCAAAGGAGAACTTCCCAGAGGGGTTTGCACAATTGGTAAGTGAATGTTTGCGGGTCCCGTTTTTTTATTGAATAGCTGGTTACGGATCTCGATGGCTTGGGAGCAAACCTCACATCAGAAGGTTTGTTGCTAACTTCGAAATAGGTATCTTCTCCTAGGGTCATCCGTGACAATGGGCGGTGTGGCTATATGGTCCATGCACTTTGTTGGGAACCGTTCAATAGTGCTTTATCCTAACTCTGTTGGAACGGATAAACTTCAACTCGCGTACAGCTCGACATTTACAGCTATATCATTCTTTGTTCCGATTCTTGTGTTATTCCTCGCATATCTCTTGATAGGGACCAATGAAGACGTGGGCTACCTTCGGCTCGGGTTTGGTGGAACGTTTGCCGGTTTAAGCATTTGTGGGATGCACTATCTTGTAGGTAGCGCCTGTCACTGATTATCACTCGGATGTCTGATTTTTTATATCTAGGGGCAATCTGGAATAGAAAATTATCGGTCGTACTACGACGTCAGCTTTGTAGTCGGCTCAATTTTCATTGCTGTATCCTCAACGATCCTAGCCCTGGCGATATTTTTCATTTTGCGGAAGAATTTTACGAACAATTGGTACAAGAGGGCTCTCTGCGCTATGCTCCTTAGTGGTGGTGTTAGTGGCATGCACTGGTGTGCGAGTGTTGGGACGCGATATCAATTAAAAGGGGGTTCTGGACTCAATCGTGACACCAGAAACGCAACTGTCATTATTACAATTGTCTTGGTGAGTTTTTTGTGCTCTCCGTGTTGTTTGTAGTGGAACCGAAGCTTACTGCGTCATCAGTCGGTCTTCGTATGTGTCCTTCTATTGGCATTTGCTATTGTCACAAGCAGGGCAAGGCAGAGGGAGGTTATCCGCGCACAAAAGGTCGTTCTAGCGTCAGCAACATTTGATCCCGATGGGAAATTAATGGTATTACCGGACGGAACACTACCGATTAAGGAGGTTACAGACTGTTTCCAGGAGAAAGTATTGGATCCTAATAGTGCACCTTAAAATACTATTATGCTAATTCTTACTGTGAATTTAGTCATTCGAAGAGGCTCTTGGAAAATCACATCCAGTATTCCACTGGATATATCAAACCACTCGAAATTGGAAATCCTTGTCTGGCCTGATAGAAGGCATGAGACAGCATCTTCGACACTACAATCTCAGTAGCCGTTCTGCAGATTTTGTCGAGGACTATGCATTTGTTTTCCGTGAGATGTTTTGTATTGCTGCCCAGGACTTGGCCGACGGAACACATAGGAGTTTGGATGACTTGGGCGTCCTCTATGACGAAATAATCACTACTGGGGTTAGTGTGAGCAATATGATTCCTGGGAAAAACTCAGATTATACGGACGTCGAGGCAGGCCATGGGAAAGGAAAAATTTTATTCCTGATAAAGAAAGTAACCAAGCCCGAAGTTGCGGATCTAACGAGTACGGGTTATCGGTTTACGGATACCAGTAATGTTATTGATATCATCAGCAGGTCAACTCAAGTCCCCAAGGAAACGCTAATACATCACCTCAACTCGATGAAAACATACAACTCGCCGGAGCGTATGCTTCAACCAGGAGTTCACGTTGGATGTTTCGCGGTCCGTGCAAACGTCAATGGCGGCTTCGAGATCCTGGTGCGTGTTGACCAGCTAGACTCTCTCCCGACTGTCCAGCTGCCAATGTCGGCACTCGAAGCTAGTCATATCAACTTTCTGAAGGAAAACGAAGGTGTGGGAGTGGGGCGTCTCATTGATGATATGGATGCTCCAGGTGGCGGCTCAAGCTCACTTCAGGCGCTCAACGATCCTCCGTTTATAAATTTATTTAAGGCGGCGCTCCAGAGCTTGATTGAAGACATCAAGGACCCATTTTTTGCCGACTCGGTCCTCGTTCCACAGCCTATTGCTATCCCATGCCAAATTACTCCCGAAAACGATTCGGGTATTGCGGTCATAATAGTTTTCAAAACGTTGATGCCAGTCCACGCGCGTACAATCAATGAAAGTCCAAAGATGGATTTCGTTCCTTTCCGATTTTTTTCATTGCAACAAAGGTGTTTCCCTTACTCCCCCGATCACGATGTTCAGACCCGGAACACACACCGAGAGTTCTCTGGGAAGGCAGCGGCGGTGACTGTGAAAAAGCCTACCCGTTCTCTATCGAAGAAAGGACTCAGGGATTCTCTGAGGCCTTGGCCGAATAGCGGACATCGTTTCATGACTCCAAGCTCCAGTCGTCCCTCAACGTCTTCGGAGAAGAAGCTTGTCTCCGGCGATCTTAGCCCCAATCCGAGCCTAAATCCATTCACTACTGGGGGGATTATGGTTTCTCAATCAGTTTCGGTGGAACATGCTGAAGCCAAGAGCGCTGTGGAGTTGCAACTAATGGGACCTAGCTCGGCCATCACAGTCAAGGATAACGATCAAGAAATGCCCACTTGGGTTGACATCCTGTTCAGGGGGGTGGTGAGCACCTCTCCAGGGCAAAACTAACCCACCATACCAGGTTGAAGCTTCCTGTTTTGGCTATGTGATTATATGAAAAGCTGTTGGTACTTTTTTATTAATTTTTTTGATAAGCACTTTCGGAGATATGGTTTTTGGCTTCCTCGATTTGCTTGCGCCTCTTTTGATCATTTTCTATTATCCCCAAAAATTCCTTTCCTGTATTTGTTTTACGAGGGGGACGGAGCTGTGTGTGGGATTGGATCTGGCGTTTTTCTGGGCTCTTTGTATTTTCCCCCATCTTGGGACTCCTTTTTGTAATTACACTACATCTTTTAGCACTTACCCCCCTATCCCCTCGGCGTCTACCCATCTGACGTGGGTGAGCTAATGGCCGAGTACAACTCTTTCCTTTTACTCTTTCCTTTACCACGTTAAGTGGGCCTAATATCAATTTATATCGGGGAAGGCTGCGTAATTCGCGTTTGCGTCGGGAGATGTTCCTATAGAGGTATGATTCCGTCATGTCAAGCAAACAAGCAAAATAATTACTCGCAAATGACACTTGCAAATTAAGTCGGTGGCTTCGGTGGTGTGAATGCGTCTAGTGAGGCGTTTTACGGATTGGTGGGGAGGTTAACGGGATACGGCAAGTGTTGTGATATCACCGGTGTTACAGATTGGTAGATTTGTTCTGACATTGTGTGTTCCGTTTGTCCCACCCAGTGGCCCACTTGGCGATGGAATATCTTCTACGGAAGTCAGTCTGTTAGTAGGATGTCCCAGGGGCAAACCCAATCCTGAGCCATTCTATTATTGGTAAGGCGGGCGAGTACTGTACTGTACCATACGGAACGCCGCAGCCCATCTCAGTTTAGGGCCTGCTATGGCCCCGCTAATACGTGTCCAACTTAACGGTTCAATCACCGAATTCGACGATATACTTGTACAGGCCAGAGTTAGCCGCTTACTACTTCCAGGGTTTGACTCAGTTACCGGTACCAGGGGAAACGCCGAAGCTGGCACAATAGCGGCCCCCTAACCGGTATTCCGAAAAATAAGAGCGAAAACAAGCGCGAGGAGAAGCCCACGAAAAGCGCTAACCTTTATTGATAGAGGGTTGACCGATATAATAGTCTGTATGGGTGTCAATCAATCAATGAATAGGGCCCCACCATGATGGCTTTTTACCCATAATACCTTCCTGGTGTCGCTTAATCCCCCTACCCCGGACCGAGGCGCAGATAAATTTCCCTTTGCTGCTGTTGCCCTGAGGAGCATTATTATACTATATCGGTCCCATCTCCACTTTGGCGAGGAGACGTCTTAGTGTCGTAGGTTGGAGCTTCCCCACCCGGCGGTAGAGGAGGTTTGCTTGACTTTCTAGGAGGGATAAGCGGGTCCCTTGGATACGTGAAAATTATTCTACGACATATAAATATCTATTTGGCGCGACTTGTGGTAGGCTGGGCGATGATGTCCGATACCGCAGTAATTATATTCCATTTCGAGTGATATATTGTGAAGCATAGTGCGCTATTCGCGATAGGAGACGAATAGTTGCGGCAGGCCTCCGCTGCGAAGGAAGGAAGCTATTGTCACAGGGAAAGATGGTAAGAACAAAAAGGGGGTAATAATAATAAAACAAAAAAAAAACCAAGCAAAAAACAAACCGAATCATCTCAAGCCAACGGTATCAACAATATTTGAGGGGGAACAAGTTTACTGAATCTCCACTTGCCGGGCTCTCTTCTTCCTCTTGACTGTCTTGACAACCCCTTCCCTTGGTTGTCCCCTCACCGGCGTACCTGCTCGTTTGACCTCCCCCTCCGCCACAGCCTCTCCGTCATCCCTCTCCTTATTATTACCATTCTCCTCACCTTCCACGGCCCGAGCCTGAGCCTTCAGCACCGTCCTGTCCCGCTCCCGCTCCCCCCTCCTCGCCTCCTCGATCCGTTTGAGGTTCCTCCGCCGGCGCTCATTGGCCTCCCTCGCCCGCCGCTTCAACTCGTCGACCTCCTGCGCTTGCGCCGCCATTGCGCTCTTGAGACGGGCCAATTTCGACTCGTACAAGGGGATCTGAGAGAAGGTTGGAGCGATAGAGTTGTAAGCGGGTAGGGTGGAAAGCGTTGTGGAGGTTAATTGCAGCGAGTGCAAGAGCGCTGTTTGCTCGTTCCTGTAAAAAAAAAGGTATCCATGTATCAGCTGATGTTGACGACGCTGTGTAATGTTTAGGGGGGGGTGTGGGAACGTACTCTAGGGAGCGGAGTTGTGCGGTGAGGGTATCTACCGCCGCTCGTGCTTGGTGGGCCAATAATTCTGAGTCCATACCGTTCGTTTTTGAAAGGTCCAATCGGGGTTTCGACGGGTGCGGGAGTGACTGAGGAACTCCTGGGGAGGTTTACTTGTTGATCTACAAATGCGGGGAAGGGGTTGAGTAATTTTTCTTTTCTTTTGCTTGCTACGGGTACGGAGGAGATTGTTGGCGTGCGATTTTTTGTTTCTTATTCTTCCTTTGGGAATAACTTACCGTAGCTGTTGGGAAACGATTTTTGACAACAGTTTTGGAAGGGAAAAAAGAATTTTGGACGAGACAAAGGGAGCAGAGTCTCAGAGCTCTCCGCAAGTGGGGATGAGATTCGACTGCTGGATTCTGGTAGTGGCTTGTGATTCGACGGTTGTCGATCGTTGGTGGCAGGTGGAATAGATTGCAGGGATTGCATCACGGGTTCTCTCCGATCAGTTTGCCCAGTGTTGTTACCAGGCTATTACCGGTAGATGACAAACGGGTGAGAGAGAGGTGTCTGGAAATACTTGTAGGGACAGTAAGCATTCAGCAAGTAATGAACACAATACCGCCACTGGTAGTAAATCCTCCATCTCACCAGGATAGAAATTTCGGGGTGTCAAAGAGATCCTGGAACGGCGTGATGCGGGTTCGAAAGCATCGGGAGCCTGAGAAAGTTTAACGCCCCGGCTTGTCGACGCATCCCAAGTTTCAACTGAACCCAGTCCCCACACAACTCGACCCTTCCTCCACATCTCCCCCCCACCAATCGTAACCCCTAGCTACCAACCTCCTCGCGTCGTTTGCAGCTGTCGACCTTCTACCGGCATCATACTTCTGCCTCATATCACACCATCACGACAGTGTTAGCAAACTCCACAAACATGCTACACCACGACGAAAACTCGGCTTCTTCGCCTGGCTGGAACCCCCCGGCCCATCTCGAGGCCCGGTTCAGCAGGAAGCGCCGCAGGCCCGGAACATCCTCCCCTTGCAACCACCCACTGACAAACTCGAACCTTGCCACGACCCGCCGCCAAACTCTCCTCGAGACCCGTAAATCGCTACTCCGCCAACGCGCAGCACACGTCGAGAAGGTCCGCCGGGCGCGAGCTAATTCCCACGAAGCCGTAAGCGAGCGTCTTCTTGCCCTGCAACAAAGCCTGAGCCAAGCACACAATAGCCGGAATGCTATTCTGGCCAAGATTGCGGGGAGCTGTGCTAGTGAGGTTGCGAAGGCGAAGCAGGTTGCACAGGAGATCAGAGCCAGACGTGAAGAGGAGGCGAAGGCCTTGAAGAGTGGGGTTGAGGAACGGATGCTTGAGGCTGAGAGGAGAAGGAAGGAAGTTCTTCGTGAGCGTAGAGGCAAGAGACGGGAGAGAGGGTCTAGCTCCAGTGTGAAGGTTGACGGCAGCAGTGAAGAGGAAGGTGATGACGCCGTTGCTGGGTCTCTGCAGAAGATCCGCCTTGGCGCCTCTAAACCTACCGAGATGCTTAGGGAGGAGGCGGCGATTCACATCCAGCGGCTTTATAGGAATTATAGGAATAGGGAGGTTGTGGGGAGATTCTTGGAGCTCGGGCTTACTATCGAGAGTGTTAGGGACACTAGTTTTGAGGCTATTTCTATAAAGTTTCAGGAAGAGAAGGTTCGGAAAGCCACTACAAGGCTTTTGAAGCTTTGCGGGCTATTAGAGCATCTTGAAGAGGGGCGGGTTGAGATTGAAAAGGCTTGTAGGACTTTTCTAAGTGCTTTTTTGATACTTGGTCATCCGGGTGAGGTTTTGAGTGATGACGGTGAGAGTGAGAAAGTAATACCCACTGATAACCCGAGCCCAAAAATGCACGCTAACCTTAACCGCTTTAAACAGGCTTTGATAACTAAATCTAAAGATCTCCTGATCGCCTTCGAGTCCTTTTTATCTTCTCCTACATTCCCTCCTGACCAAAGCCTCTTTGCCGCGTGGGATGCCTTCAATACAGGGTTTACGTCCTGGAAAACTCGGGATTCCGAAATACTTATCAATACCATGGTAGCCCAGTATGCTGAGCTAGATCTCATTTGGCAGAAGGTTAAAGATGACACGGAGGAGCACGTTGCGTTGGACTTCAAAGAAGGCATCAGAGAGAATCAACTGTTACTACTCGTTCGCATCCGGAGACTCGCTGGGGAACGGACCAGGGCTTTGATAAGACAGGCCGTCAAAGATGCTAGAAGGACGAGACTGCCCAGGAAAGAAAAGGGCGACACAAGACCAAGAGCCACCCCCACTGCTTCTGATGGTAATTCGGTTTCCACTGAGGTCGAGAGCTCTTCCGTGTCTTCCGGTGCCGCCGCTGCCTCCCTCTCACCAGCTGGTTCGCCTCAGCCTCCTGAAACACCAGCCGGCGTGGCAGATCAAAGTAGGTTTCCTCCGATGGAAAATGGTGCGATATTCTCAAATCGCCAGGTCGTCCACGAGCTAGCCCTCGATAAGGATTTCAAACTAGGAGCCAGAAAGAAAGGTGGGCTGGAAAGGGTGGTGGATGAACAGGCTAGAAGAGCCTTTTGGGATGCCATGAAGGAAGATGTCCTAGAACGCGGAGAGCTGGCCAAGTGGATACCGGGAATGGCAGGGAGTGTCAAGGAGAAGCTGTTGCGGCTTTTGGAATCGACTGGTTCACTCCACAGGATGATCTCCGATAGCATCGATATTCAGATCATCGAGCAGCAGTGCCGTGCTGGCTCCTATGATTACGAGAAATTCTTCTCTTTTGTTCTCTCCATTCTTCCCAAGATTTGCTCACCTGCTAGAGACGAGGACGTACAAGCGCTCATCAATGACACCACCAGTAATTATATTCATCGTCTTCAACGGTTATTCGATGTCTTGGAACTCTTGCAGCTGGATCACGCAAACTTTCTCCTCATGATGTCTGCCCAATACGTGATACCTGAAGCAGTGCCCTACGAGCGCCGCTTGTTCGCTGCAGACCTCGAGGCCGGTCGAACCACTCTGACTCAAACAAAACGGTGGCTCCTGAAGGCTAAAGAGGAGAAACTCCAAGAAGCTCGGTCACGCGATCCCGAGGGCGTTAATCACCCATCCAATAGGCCGCCATCTACTGGAATCTACAATCACGCCTTCGCATCACTGGTCATGTCATTGGGTGGGCCTCTGACGCTTCAAGAAGTCCCCGAAACTTTCCATCTGGATATTGAGCGGATCCGGACTTATCGCGAGGAATTCCGAAGCCTGGTACTAGGTGCAGCGATGGGACTAACCATCAAGAATCTTCTGCATCGCGACGTTCGTAGTTCCTGGAAGCCCCTCAAAGACCGCATCTCCACCGATCTATCCTCAGAAACCCCCCTCGAACCACTAGCCATTGCCCAGGACCTCTGTACATTCCTGCGGGAAACTGTAGCTACACCAAAGCAAGTGGTCTCCCATGTTACCTCCGCCATCACCCGTATCGCAGCTCGCTCGGGGTCTCAGGAGCACCAGGACCCTGTTGTCAGAGTCGTCTCGAACAGACTCCGCGGGTTCGTCCTCGCAAGACTCAATGCGGGCACTTCCAAGGAGAAGGTCCGGCTTGCTACGGGTGGTGGGGATACTCTTACTAGCTTTGGCATGGCCGAGTGGATTTCCGAGGTTGGGGCTTTTGTGGAGAGGAGCGTTGCGTTGACGGACTTGAACAGAAATTGTTATGCTGTTTGGTATGACGGGATCTTGGCTTAAGCTTGCTTGGTCCTATAAAAGAGCCCGGAGATGGTGGTTTGGCGGTTTGTGTTTTTGCCCGGCGATAGTGGGATGTTTTGTGTTATTGCTTTGTTTTTGCTCGGTTTCTTCTCCACTTTTGTACTGTAGTGTACTACTGGGTTTGGCACTTTAGTGTATGGCGCGTCCCTCCGCTCGTTGGCATTCGCTGTTCGTATCGTATATTGTATTGTATCGTAAAATCCATGGTGCAATTCACTCCGGCTGAAACTATTTTAAGAAACGCCGTTACGTACTAGTATCATACCGAAGGGAATATCTGAGCAACACATTGCAGTTACCATCCCCCAGCAAGTTCTCACCTCTCACTTGTACCACCATCCCTCCCCTCTGATCACTGATATCCCCATGAGAGGCATTCAGCCCCGGGGTTGAAAAACATTTATGCAAATTTTTCTACCACCGGGTTCCGGCCGATATTTTGCCCATATGCAATAACAGTTGTGTTCACAAACCTCAGAACATTACGGGTAGTCGGATATCATACGAAACTGGCAGATCAATTCGAAACTTTGCGCTCGAAAAAACGCCTTCTCAACCCCAGGGCTAAATACCCCCCTGTCGAGAACTTCCGCAAAATACAAGCCCTTCGAACGTTGATCCCTTCCAAATGGCACTCGTAGCCAAGCGCATAAGTCATCGAAACCTCTGCACCCATGCCGTCAAACCAAGCTTTTGCCAGGACTGGTTTTTTTTTTTGCCAAGCGCCAAGCGAGACTGGGCGTTTAATTCTGAGCTTGGAAAAATAAGGAAATCTCACTAAGGTATTACTCCACACCACCCCGATCGCCCGGAGTCATCTTCGTATCATATTCATAGGATTTTTAATTTTTTAATTCAATTTTTTTCAATTTTTAAATTACCCTTACCTCCGCTCTTGGAATAGACTACCGGTAGACCAAGGAGGGAGTGGGCGGAGTCCTTTTGGATCCAGATCGGACGACACCTATTTGGGCAGCGACCGTACGACAGACGGGCGGAGAAATAATGATCCAATCGTAGGGGTTCTGGTTCGGGAAATACAAACAGTCTATACTAGGGAGGGAGGGGATGGGTATGGAGATTGAGTTTGACAGGGTGGACGCCCAGACGCAGCGGCACAAGAGGACGGGGGTGAGGAGGGTGAGAGAAATGGGGGTTTTCTGAAGATCGCCTTTTTTTCCTCGAGTCACCGCACTGGGTTGGGGCAGTGATCTAGTGAGCATCGCTCCCCTTGATTGAGAATTGAGAAGGGGAAGGTGAATTATGCTTGCACAGTGTTTATTAACCTATAGTTAGCTTTATCCCTAGTCTAGTCTAGCATTGTACGGGTACTGTATTATATTGTCCATTATTATCCCTGGCTGGTATGAATGGTACCGCGATGCCCTCGCCTTGAGCAACACAGTTGTGTTCAGGAATACCGGTAGTAGCGTTTACGAGTACTGGGCTACGACGCTATAGTGCTGATTAATTACCGGTATTTAAAAGTCCCCCGAGATCATCAATGTAGCTTGCACTTCTCTATCCCTTTCAGCTCCTTCAACGAAACAACTTCCAGAGCAATGCCTACCCGTACCACAATGTTGATTACGCACTCCCCCCCCATCCTTCCCTCCTCCCCCTACCCAATATCATACACTGCCTATCAAATAAAAAAAGCACTCCACGAGCCGGGCGGTGCCACGGTAGCTCAAGCTTCCAATCAGCGAGCGCTTATCGAAGTGGTAGGTTCCCTCCCAGTAATTGGTTTCTCTGACAATAGTGCCCCTAGCTTGAAAAGCTTGGTTACATGGTGTCGTACGTGGCAGCGGGCGAAACAAGCAGTTTTTTTTCTTTTTCCCGCTCCTCTCCATGAAACTGAGTTGTGATGGTGGTGGTGGTGAGAAGTGAGAACCGGTGTGTTGGTCGGGGCGGGAAGGGAAAGATCCGTGTAGTTTATAGCGGGTGGGTGGACAGACTGGGCGCGCGCCCGGATACACCGGCTTAGCTATATCCAGTGAGGATCCGGCAAGCATGGGCTGTCGATATATAATGAACCTATTCATTCCGGTTTCTTTTTCTCACGTTCCTCATACCTTGGCGTTCCAGACATCATGAATAATTTGATAGATAGCGTCATCAAGGAGTACGCTTCCCGTCCCCGCCCAGATTTTTTGCCTTGCCCTGACTTTTAACAGGAGAATTGCAGGGCAACGAAAGTCGAGATTACTCCCGTGGATTAAGAATCCCTTCAAAGATGAGTTCGAGGGTAGTATCGGGTCGCTGTCGCACGGCTCCAGTGTGAGTGTGCACAGCCTTAAGCAACGGCCCGATTTCAGGCACAGTGTCATCGACCAAGGAGAGCCTATGACACACAAAGAGGAACTCGAAATTGAGGAAGCAACCCCGATAGAGCTTTTCTATGACTTGTTTTTTGTCGCTAATCTCACGACTGTCACGGGGGTGCATTATATTACTGAGAAGAAAAGTTCGCTCCCTCCCCCAATGCCTATTAGACAAACCCTAACTCGGCCGGCGAAAAATCTTAGGTCTGGCCTCGTACGGGCTTTTCTTCATTATCCTTTGGTTTACTTGGTTGCACGTTACTCTTCTCGACGTTCGATTCTCCCGTGACTCGGTGTATGAACGGATATGCAAATCCATCCATTTTATAGTGATGGCTGGTTTCTCGTCTGTATCGACGCAGTGGAATCCATTGGATCCTACCGACGCTCATACCGTCACTGCGCTTAGAACTATGACGCTCGCGTTGATGTTCTCGCGGTATATTCTTATGATTCAGTATTTCGTGGTTATGTTGTTTGCTAGGATTAAGAAGCAGGCTATCCTCCCACTTGCGTTGCATTGTTTTACCATGGCTGTTGCGGGGAGCCTTTACCTCGGGGTAGGTTTATACACCTTTACGATTACCGCTTGAGAGACGGCAATTTGCTGACATGGACTGGGGATTTTAGCTGTATTTTGCTTTTGAGAAGGGCAACCCAGCAAAGTCTTACATTGGATGGTATATCGCGGCGGTATTCGAGGCCAGTGCCATTATCGGGACTTCGAGTGTCTGGAGGGTAGTCAGTTTTAAGAAGACGCACCTCGTCGAAAGAATGGGGTTGCTAACACTTATCATTTTGGGCGAGGGCATTATCGTCATGCTTAAAGCTATCAACGCAATCGTCAAGGGCACTGGGTGGACAGCTGACCTTGCTGGAATTGTCGCAGCTTCCCTAGCCATCATCGTATATCACTCCCTCATACCGACCCCCCACACACATCTGCTTACTTTGGATTGAATTAGTACTTTTTCTGGATGTTCTACTTCGACTACAACCCCAGAAACGTCCATTATGGCACAATCCGCCAGCAAATCTGGACCCTCCTACACTTCCCCTTCCACCTCTCTATTGTCCTCTCAGTAGAAGGCCTCCGACAGTTAACCACCTGGCACGGCATGAACACCTACATATCCGGCATCTTTCAAGAGGCGGAGACCCTCACCGAGCCAGCGCTGGTGGCAGAGTGGTTCCAGTTCCACTTCGAGTCTCTGTATGATGATGGTGGCTCTAAAACCGTAGTAAAAGGATACCCAAACATCACCGCGAACATTGATTCCCTTGTGACCCTCGCCAACAACAATGCCACTTCACAAACCGGGTATCCGCATATGGTCAACGAACTACTATCTGAGCTGCTCGTTGGAATTGCAGAGTATTACGGCGTCAAAGCACCTCGGCCAACAACATTTTTAATTAAATACGAAGAACCATTCAGTGAAGACGGCCCATTGGGAAAGGTTCTTGGCGTATTCAATCTAGTCTATGAATACTTCTTCGTCTCACTGGGGTGCGCGTTTATACTGCTCGCCGCGTTTACATTTCTTGTCCGCCGGAATAAGGATGTTCACGATTACCTCTCCATTGCAATAAGGGTCGCCGTAGGAGTTGTCATGTATGGAATGATTGGACTTCATACAAGGGGTAATGAGGAGCTCTATTACAATTACTTGTATAGCCCTTGGCCAATTCCGCAGGTCTGCTTGATAACTTTTCTGGGTATTCTCCCCTTTCCTGGAGCGGTTTCTTGGAGGCAGCAGTTACTAACGCATGACCGCTGTAGCTCTCGTGGTGGACAAGATGTTGAATTACCTCGCCTATAGGCACGCTGTAGCTGCCCTCCACAAGTAAGACTTTTTTCTATCTTAATTATTATTTCCCTCTTCATCATTCTCCGCGCAGGCCGCGTTTTCCTAAAATGTGGGTGTAACATGTGTTTTCGGCATTTTTCCTCTATTTCCCTTTGCTTCTACTTCATGTACACGGTTAGAGATACACAGCACGATGGCGTTGCATTATAGATGACATTTCACTTTTCCCTCTTTTTCTTATTGCTCTCCCCCCCCCCTTTTTTTTTTAGTTTTTTTTCTCCGCCTTTTGTTTCCATTTTCTTTCGCCTGTTTCCCCTAGGGATACAGTACATGGTCCGGTTTGTCTTGGCTTGGGTTTGGGTTTGGTCTGGTTGGTTTTGTCAGTCAATTCTTGTTTTTGGAAGAATCCTTAAAAAGGGCTCATTCGCAATACTTTTTAGGAAGCGGATTGGCAGCATTGGGCGTTTTGGATGGGGTAGGAGGGAGTACGTACCTTTGGAGGAGTAGGTTTGATTTGAATTTTACAAAAGGTGTTGGATATGGGGGGGGGCGGTGGAGTGGGATGGGATGTGGGGAAATCATGACAATTTTCTCCTACACGCACGGTGCGAGTTCGATATTACTTTTGCTCCTCAAGTTTGTTTGTCCATAATGCGCTGCGATAATGGCGCTTTAGCTAGTCTTCTCTGGACGCTTTATCACGAGCCAAGACTTTGGCGAACATGCCCTATTGATAAGATAAGCTTCAGTCATGATGGGAACTGATAAAGAAACAAACACCATTTGGGCGCTGTACTCTTAAGGCGCTGGAACAAGAAACCCCGAGCCGTTTTACACCCCCCAACGAGCGCGGGTGTTACAAACTAAACTGTTTCCGAAAACTAGCGGAGAGCAGTTTGCAACAGAAAGTTGAATAAAAGATTTATAGAATTGAGAAACCAGAACAAAGGATGTATGATACCTTTTGTATGGCACCCCCACACAATGTCTCGGGTCATTTTCAGATCTCACCATACCATAGCATAGGACATCAGAAGTTTACCAATTCTCAGGCTTTACACTTCCACTATGGAAAGGGATAGTACCTCTCTCGATTCCCACAGCTTCTCGCCCAGGTAATGTCGAGCCGCGAGTCCGCGAAAACCACTGCTTTCTGTGCAAATGTTGCCAACGGTGCGAACCCCTTTCATTTTACTGCATGATATCACATCTCGCAACCCAACCCATATACCCCGAAGCCGTACACTGCTGGACCAAATTAAGGTTTCTGACATTTGCTTAAAGAGTGATGTAAGGAGTAATAACGCCTTATACTAGATAGAATGAGGGTCATGTTAAAGGATGTGGGGGGAGGCGTACGGAGGATTCTTGCACGGGATATAGGGAATATTTAGATGAGCGTATGTTCTCTCAGGCATTCAATCACCCCACATCAGTAGTTTCAACATATACTGTCAGGCTGACTGATAGTTATATGATGGCAGATATTTTTCCCGTTCTGCTAACATGTTTATTTTTCCCAATATCATATATCATATCAGAATGATCTATTTTTCTCGCAGCACATGATGACGGAAAACATTGTACAGAGTAACTGAGCAGAAGGTGTAAGGTGAATTGAGGGGGAAATTTTTTTTTGACAGCACCTGTATCTAGTCCAACGGTGATACGTACGATAGGGCAAAAGGCCAGCCGTCCGGACAACAAACGCTTCACTCCACACTCACCCATCACACCAGTTTTTTTTAAAAAAGGTGATCATTCCCCCCTAAATCAATCACTAATAACACGAGCATGAAACATGCAACGCTACATGTAATTTTAAAAAGGCAATTACTCCTAAACGTTTGGATATCCCTGGGCTTCCCAGCATGAAGGCTGAATATCTTGTGTGGGGGGGGGGGGTTCCCACATATAATATATAATTATCATATCCTGCCAGGAAGTTGGTAGCGCATAACACAATATTACAAGCGCGCGGATCAAGTACGCTAGTTCTATCAAACCTTCCCCCCCGAAAAAGTGGGGCACGAAATGGCATGACAACCCCATTGCCATCTACCGTTAATCCCCCGCGCGGATATCACGGAACGTGGTTGCCCCCCAAAAACTTATATAGCGGGTTGTGAATCCCGGTCGGCGGGGTAGGGGGAGGTACTGGAAAACACCGTCTCGGAGTTTGTAATGCCCGGATTACATGTGCGGCGGGGAATTGTTGTACCGGGTATCATAAGAATTCTTGTTACGATACCTTAGGGGAAAGACTACGAATCTTGGTCACTGTGGATCGACCTCCCCCCAGGTATATATCGTACACCGTCCGATTTTTTTAATAGTACAGTACCCACCTCTCCCCGGATAAGTTAATCGGTTATTCTCCCGTGAGGGGGATTAAAAAATTAGCGAGTGATCTCTTGTGATGGTAATGTTTGGGTGTGCGCACTGTATTCTACCGAATCGAGGAACGCGAGCTCCGCATGATCGATCGATTGGCTGCAAGTATCCGGGCTGAAATCTTGCCAGAGGCGGAGTCCCTGTATGTTTGGAGGGGGCCCGTTGCAGTGTGTTGGATGCGGAGGTTTCGAAAGAACAAAAGGACTCCATCAATAGGACAACGCTCCCCCCGTGCCAGATTGGTGTGATGGCTCGATGTATGATATGTAGGGGGTGAATGATAGTTTCTCGGCTATGTCGCTCTATATTGGGACTGGGGAAACATAAATACCATGACTCATAACTTTCCTTTTTTTTCTTTTTTTCTTTCCTTTTTCCTTTCCGAGGAGTCATCCTTCCTCCGCCCCCCTACCTTCTTCCAGAGGCATGCCTGTAGATTACTATGATATGATACAACTTTTTCATCCATCCCGGATAGCGAGAGATCGCAGACACTCACATACTCGGCACTACGCATAGTCTCCGATCCAAAGCTTTAACTAGTACGAGTACAACAACATGGCCCCCAATACAATCGATAATAGTTCTGAGATTCTGAGACACATTTGCTTAAATAGGGAAGTGCAAAGGCGTGGCTGTGCTTATTCCGGTCACGAGGAGAGCTCGAATTCAACTCACCGGCCAGGTATGACCGCTCGCCCGGTAACTTGGTTGTCGGGATATGATACCGTGCCGATCGGGGAATATTTGGATACGGTGTGGGTGCGCGCACTGGAATTCAACTTATTCCGGGTTTCTGATAATATGATAACTTGGGCGCGCACCTTGACAATATTATCTGTCTCCTCTTTTGCGATTCCTGAGTCCGCCCTTTCCCCTTCCCGAGGGAGGTATTATAAGTCGCACTCAACCTGCAACGGCTGAATAAGATAAAAACAAACGAGAAGAAGTGAGTGTGCCCTCTCTACAGAGTTCTATGGCCTGCCACAGCCCCTCGTGAAATAGAAGTATGATGTTGTCGTGGTCGAAATTTTGCTAGGAGTAATCATGTATCATCACTCGCGATGAATTTTTACGCGTGCTTTAGACATAATAATATTTTAGCATCATATTAGACAACACAGGCTCATGCATTCTCGAAATTTATAAATTTATGGAAAGAACTCTTCCCCCCCCCTCTTTTCTGACCGCCTAGGGTAGCGGTGAGGACTATATCGCAATTGGTATCTTATAGTTTGTGCGTAGCCTTTGCTTCCTGAAAAACCACCGGCTCGGGCGATTATGCAAACATCAGAGAGTTTGCGCACGAGTATCTCATCAAAAAACAACTGAAAAGGCTCACAAAACAACCCCCGAGAAACAGTCTCCGGCTATCATATGATACAATGCCCCCCACACACCTTTTACACAAGAAAAAGGTCAAGTAACCCTAGCGCTCCTCGGGAATCGTGGACTGCAGTCGCTCAAGACGACACCCGAAGACAAGGAGCACCGAGAGAGTAGGGTCGAGACCTGGATTTGCCGGAGGAAGGCGGGCGGCGGAATCTATCTCAAGGCTTCCCAGCTTGGCTTTCAGTATTTGGTGGCTGACTTAACGGTGTGCATCTGTCAAAATTCCCCAGACCTGAAAACTGACACTTTATCGTACACTTTTCCCAGGTCTCGCCTGCTACCTGGGTGTCCAAGGCTTTTGGGTTAACTCAAAATAACCTGTTTCCCCACCACCTAGATCTCCCTATGCAAACTCCCTAGTACCCGCAACCTTTCACCTAACGGGCCAGCCAGCGTGCCGGATCAGCCGAAGACGGTACTATCATACCTTCCAGGGTCCCCGATTTTTGCATAGGTATTGATCGACTCGGTATTGGGAGCGCTATTCACTCTTGAAGACGCACCAGGCAACTATAATTCCCGGCGATTCTGCTGAAGCGAGTTATCCAACCCGAGTTCAATCTCAATTCTCCCCTTATCCCCCAAAATATAACTCCCCGAAGACCCATGCATGGTGGCATGAAAGGGCAGCATTCACCAACGACTCCCAGTTGTCAGAACAGCCCAAGTGCGGGCACAGTAGTAGCCCACGAGCAGACCCCCTCCAACCAAGATTCCACGCGATCAGCTAAAAACCACACAGCTCAAAGAAGCACGGCTTTCAAATGTGTAGATAGATTTCCCGATTAAAATGGGCGGTCCTGAGAGAGCCTGTAGAAAAATCATTGACACCTGAAACGCTAACACGTCCATTGATGAGTCATTTCTAACAAACTTCGTTTCACTTGGCACAGATCTTCTACGAGTGCGTTCATGTTCGCTGCCAACACCGGTCCTTCTCTTTTTTCTTTCCTTTTTTCCCTACATCATTGAACGATGCCCGTAGGGAAACAGCCTATCGCGCTGCCAATTCTATATCGGTACCGGTACTTTCAGCCTGTTGCCGTCCTCACCTTCTCCTGGTGGACGGGCTTTGATACGATTCCGCACTATATCTATCTATCTACCGCCGCTAATGTACCATGTTACTTGTCCCAGGCAAGTAGCATTCGAAAGCAGGGGCTCGCAAAATATATGGCAAAAAGTCCGTATGTGGCTGAGCTCTCAGACAATATCACGGCTCGCATTTTCGAATACTCCTTGCCTAGGACAAGTACTGCCGAAAGGCAAGGCCTGACTGACCGTTATATCGCATCACGGTATTTCCTCCACCCTCTGACAGGGAGGAACATTGACCCGAAAGTGAGAGATTTGGGCCTCGAGGCAGAGATACTCAAGTTCACTAAAGGGGGAATGAAGTTGATGAACATCTTTCGAATTTTCCGGTGAAGGGGGATCCCCCTAAACAATCGAAGGATTCAACAAAAAAAAAAAATCCCCCCACTCTCGGAGAACGGATGGGAGGTTCGTTCGAGGGCGCAGTAACTCGCTCTTCATCCCGTCGCAACTCGCCAATTTGAATTTTTTTGAAACACCCCTCCGAGGCTATCATAAGCAATAATCTCGACCTATCGCCGAACGATACGGGAGTTATGAAAAGCCAGCGCACCACGCCCAGGGCACCTGTATGCTAGAGTACCGGTACTCGAGCAGAGTATAAAGCCCTGAGCGCCACAAGCATGCATTATCATGTATCACCATATATAGGAGGGGAGGAAATAGCAGTCTACCGCAAGAGCTCCAGTAATTCACTATCTCCGGTAAGCCTCGA